TCATGATGGCTACTGGCACTCAGAAATATAAAAGACGATGACACCAAGCATGGCCTTCAAAGGCCTCTGCAGCTGAAGGGGTGACAAAGGCAGTGAAACACATGGTGAGAAACCAGATAGAAAGGGACACATTGCTCAGAGTACAGATTAAGTGCTTCGGGGCTAAGAAACAGTAAATATTCCTGAAAAATCATTGGAAAAATCCAAATTTCTCCTCCTTGATGCCACGTGGTTTGGCTCAATAACACATAGCATCAAACTGTCAAGTTAATTATGCTAATTTTGAAGAAATATACACTACCTTGCAGGGAGGAGAACACCTGATATTCTCCTTTAGGAGATCAGGTTAGGCAGGGCCCACATTATTTTGATGAAAATCATCTATTTTCCCAAAAACCAAGGAATTTTCCTAGGAGCTCCCTCTTCAGGGGCTTTCTCCTCAAGTGTCCCGCCCCTGTCACTTTCCCCAGGAAGCTCCCTCCTGCTCTCACTGAAAGTATACTGTAAACTTTACCTTGAGCTAAGTAAATTAGGAAACTTCAATATCAAGATATGTCTGATAACTCACAAATTCTTAAAGCAGAAACTCTTTAACACATGTATGAGGCATAGTTATTCAACAAGCATTTCTGTATCAACTAAGGGAAGTTTGTTACAATTGATTTGAAAAGTTTTGAATTTAGCTACAGAAGCAATGGACAGTATCAATGGAAATTTAGATTTCCAAGCTCAATTTAGATTTCCAGTGACCTAGTTGCCACTAAATATTTAATGTCCCTTTTCTTCCTTCCTAAACTTTGTGCAGATTGTACACTTTTAAAGAAAATATTTAAACTATATTCATATATATCTGTCTTCTCTATGTCTATGCCTTATTTTAAATGGTCTGTATTTGCCTGCCCAGTGAAGCAATATAACAAACATTGGTTAATTCCTGCCATACTGTTTAGCAAAATTCTGCATTGTTTCTCATTTTTTGTTTTTATTTTTTATTCTCTTTAATGGTTTGATCAATCTTGCATTCTTACATCTGGTAATCTGAGCAACTTCATTGAAGATACCCATACGCAATATAACAGCCACTGTTAATTCCTATCATTTTGTTCCAAAACCCTGAATCATTTTCACAGTTTTTGCTTTGTTTGGGTTTATGTTGTTGGTATTTTGCTATTGTTCTTTTTTATTATTCTCTTTAAAATAAAAAAAATTTAAAAAATTAAGCAGAGCTTCATGTACATTGTTACTTTCAACAGCTCACCTACTTCTTTTCATTATAGAAAATTTGGGACATCAGGCATCCTATGGCCATGCATGCCACTGTGACATTCTCGGTATTCTTCTCACAAAAGGACATGCAGTCAGCACTACAGATCTTGATCCTGTAAAATAATGTATGGAAAATTGGACTTTCAAGTCCCAAACTCTATCCTAGACAGTTTATATGTTTATGATATAAACAGAGAGATAATACAGCCAGTGGAATGGAAGATCTCTGAGGTGTGATTTATTAAGTTGTCCTTTTCCTCCTCTGACCACACCGCCCCACACACACACACACACACACCTTCTCCCCAATTCCCTCCTTTCCCTTTCCTCTCATCCTTGTTAAGGACCTGGAGCAATGACTTCAATTTGCTGGCCTCCTTCCTAGCCGTCCATCACAGAGGGCTTCACTGTGAGGAGTACACACATTGCCACTCCATTGATAATTGTCTTCTATTTGCCTTTGCAGACATTATTCAACACCCAGGATCCCAATAATTGAGGGTGTTTCCAAGGTAGAAACATTTTGGCCAAGAGCCTTATCACTATTGGCCTCATGTGAATTGGCATCAAGTATGCTGCTGTTCATTAGCAAAGGTCATTTCGTTCAGTTATCTCTGCCTCTCTGTTAGCATAAAGCAAGAGAAAATGTGATCACTCCATTGAAACAGTCTAACTTCTCTTCTTTGTGGACATTAAGGAAAGTTTAGCACACTATGTTCCTAACACTTTATTCTCATACCCAGGTAAGCTTGATGATTCTACAGCCAATTTCTAAAGCTAAGCAAAAGACAGGTTCAGTCTCTCAGATGATGGTAGAATATCTCTGCCAATTGCTCCTTAAGAAATCTGTCCATCTATTCAGAATATAAATGATTACATTTCATATCACAAAACTGTCCTGGATAATCAGGTAAGTTTGTAAACAGGAGATGGTCGTTCCTGAGAATTTTCTTGGCATCCTGACATTTTCATACTTTTACATACAGCTAGGCATATGAGATTTCTTCCATACTTTAAAAGCCTACAGTAAAGGGAAAATACTCTCAAAAATGATGAATTAACTCTAGAACTACACAGAAGGTCTAGTATTCCAGTTTCACTATAATTTCCTTGTACTCTGAGGTCTCCTCACACAAGTGTCCATGCCACCAGTGAACACAAACATCTCCATTAATATCCATGTTTTCTCCTCAACACTTCATTCTACTCAACCCTTCTTTCTGATCAAATTCCATACAATCATTACCTCCTCTGTGAAGGTTGTGCTTGGGCATCATCAAATGGTTTTAACAGCAATCACAAGATTTAAAATGCTCCAGCATAATGATTAAATTGCTTTCTACTTAAAAATGATAAATTATGGGAAGCAGTGCCTAGTATATAATGTAAAACATAGCTGGTACATAATAAATCATTTCTGAAAAAATGATTGTCATGCATGTTAACAAATAAACACTACTTAATATCACATGACTGAATTAAAATACTGGTATAATATTTATGTGGCTTATCAAAATTCCTTCCAAGTAGGACTTAATAGCTACAACCCAAAATATGTTAAGTCATTGTACACTACCCAGTATTCTAGACATGCTCCTTATCTGCTCATATACTCCCTTAATACCAACTCTAGGCTCAGCCTGATAAAGGCAATCTTAGTAGGGTGGATAAAGTGACTAATGTATTTAAAAATTCAAAGCTCAACAATTCAAAGCCAAGCACCAGTACTATAATAGTTATGTTCATTTGATGCCAAATAATGCATCTGGAATATATAGTATGTTTGTGAGTGTGTGTGTGTGTGTGTGTGTGTGTGTGTGTGTTCATGTGTGTAGTTAGGTAAGTAGATAGATATATAGGCAGACAGACAGACAGACCCACTGATTTATTACAGGCATTATTCTGCTCAATTATAACCTAACCAATTACCTTTGCTTGATTTTCTAAATTTAATTTGTTCTTGCATTTCCCATATTAATCAATTCTATTTTTAAGCCATTTCACCACATATTTTCCAATATGAAAGCTGGAAATATTAAGGTTGAAGAAACTTTAGAAATAAATGACCCATAAGAAAAACTATTTTCACGAAAGAAACTGTAGAAGGTGAAAATTTCAATAGAGAATTAAAAGTTGAACCTGAAACTAAGTATGCCACATTATATCAATCCGAACAAAATTTTTATTGATGCTTTGACCCTGGAATAGCCTGGAACTGTTGAACAATAGTTAAAGTGAAGAGGAGAAGTGGGATGGAAAGATCACCAAAACTTGAAAGAAAACCTGGAGGTTTTTTATCTAAATTCTGTTCTTTGAAATTCATAGGGGTAAGCAGAGTCATGGTTTTCCCTATAAAAGAAAGTATGCAACGTATCACTTTCCAAAAGTGAATAAAAGAGGAAAATTTAGCTATTATTTCTTTAACTAAATCAAGTCATTTACCAGGCATGGTGGTGAACACCTTTTATCCCAGTACTCTTGGAAGCTGAAGCAGGAGGAGCACAAATTCAAGGCCAGCCTGGGCAACTTAGTGACTTGGTGAAACCATGTCTTCAAATTAAAAAAAAAAAAAAAAAAGAAAAAGAAAAGGCTGGGGAATGTAACTCACTGATAGAGCCCTGAGCTCAGTCCCCAGTAGTGCAACAAAGAAATATATGGATTGAATCCTCATAAATATGGACTTATCATGGTTGAACCAATGTCCTGTGGAGTCTGTAAAGATTATCCATAAGGTAGGTACATCAATCAAGGCTATGGGCATAGATGTCTCTGAAACATGAAAGGCCATGTTATTAAAAAGTAACCTGAAAAGCTTTACAGAATCAAAGAGATGCATTACCATAGCAAGAAAGCATTCCTCTGGCCCTCTTCACCAAAGCCCGCAGCAGGAGTTTGTGCTCACATGCGCTAACCACAAGGCAGCATTCCCCCTGTATCAGGTCAGAAGAGCACATGGCTTGTGTTCCCCCACGTGGCTGGAAGAGCTCACACATTCTCCTAGACTACAAGCACTGTGACCCACTCCTGGCTTTTCAATTGGCTTCACAAATCTGAGCAAGGTCCCCAGTCCAAATGTTATCGTTACCACCAGTGTTGCAACAAATGGACCAACGGTTGAGAACCTGCCTAATAGAGAGCTTAACATGGAGACAGCTCGTTTTTTCCTCCTCTTCATACTGCTCCTCTTTTGCTTTCTCAGATAAATTAAAATTTAGGGAGAAAAAAGCCCACACTGCATCCCTGACATTTAAAATGCAGAAATTCACACACATACACACACACACACACACACACACACACACAGAGCCTCAGGGGGAAAAATAAAGAACATTATTCATTCCTTTTTAACTCCAGAGTACCAGTCCCTTAGCATGTACCATTAATTTATGCCACACCCCTTAGGTACTTTTTTTATTTAACTTTCCAAGTGACCTTTTTATAGCAATTCTTTTTACAGTGCTCAAATGGAACCCAAGACCTTGTACCTGCTAAGCAAGTGCTCTACACTGAGGTACATCCCCAGCCCCTAAACTTACTATTATTACTATGTGTTTAACTATTCTAAATTTCTGCAAGTGAAAAAAACTTAAGGATACTTTGCAAGTGGTCAACAAAGCAAATACTAAATCTATGAGTGCTTCAGGGTCCCGCACATCGAGAGCACTAAGGGGATGCTATTACAGTGAACTTTCCTTCCAGCCAGCAGCATACCTGTTCCAGAACTGGCTGCCTACCTTCTCTGGCCCTCTGTGTGGTGGCTGCTGGTACAGTCTGGGCACAGTACACCTCCCGGGTCTGGATCCCACCGCCGCAAACAGGTCCTGTCGCATGCCAGTGGGGGTCCTGCTGCTCCAAGAGGAGAGAGACTTGACACTCTTTCCATTCAGAGGTTCTCCAGGAATACCTGTTTGGTTTGATTTATTTGAAAGAAGAAGAGGCAATAAGGAAAATATACAATTCTAAAGAAAACAAGTCACCACATCAACTATGTATGAAAACTCTCATTCTATGGCCAAGGCTTTCCTATGGATAAAGAAGTCTACTGGCTTCAAATCACTAAATCCTCTCTATTTCCTAGACAAAGCCCCAGCAGCACATCTTGCGGATAGCACAAGATGACTAACAGAGAAATAGTACGTTTGTCTCAGCTTTGAAGCTAGAAGAGTTAAGAGAGAGGAGGTAGAAATCTAAGCAGCCTACATAATGACAGCTGAAACTGTAATTGGGTTGTGATTTCTAGTTTACTTTGTGTGACAGTCAGCCTTTAATTAGCATTATAGTGTATAAATTTGAGAACATGTTTTTTCAAACAGGTAGAGATGATCTCCAATATCTCAACCTTCATGAGGTAGGAAACTTTTTCTACCCATTGGACCTCTTGCCATTGTGATAAAAGTATCTGTATTAAACATGAGTTACCATGGATTCACTATATCTAACTGATGAATAACTTTGCAGGTGCAGCCATTCTATCATTTAAACTGACTAACAGTATATTTTCTAGGTTTATAATTGGTTAAGAAACACACTAATACACACACACATGCATGTGTGCACACATATTGACACACAAACACATACCCCAATAAGGAAGAAAAACACAATGAAGTTTATATACAACTTACACAAAACAAAACAACTATTATATCACTACATTCACAATTGAGAGAATTAGTTCAGACACAATTTTTTTGTGGGGGGAATTACAGCTCAAGCCCACAGCATTCACATAAATACAATAGGGTCATTAAATTTTGCAATAATAAGGAAAATCTAAGAACATTTTCCTATCTGCTGCTTTATTTCATAGTTGAAGAAAAAGTTCTTGGCTTTGTGATTAAAATAAAAGCATTGATTAAAATAAAAACATTAAAAATAAATAACATTCACCAAGACCTTGGTCTTAGAGAAACTAGAATAAAAATGAAATAAAATAGCAAATGTCAAAATAAGTAAGCAAATATGTAAGAAATGTAATAGTGACCAAGCCCCACACAACAGTACTTGTCATTCTAAAAGACTGAAAGCTGATAATCATTAGTCTTACATAAAATAAAAAGCCCCCAAAGCCCATTGTAGCTCAGGCAAGATGGCCTATAAACCTATAAACCCAGGATTCTGGGAATCTGCAGCAGGAGGATCTTAATTCAATTCCAGCCTGGGAAGGTTACTAACATAGTGAGACACTATCTCAAAATTTAAAAATAAAAAAATAAGTTAAAAGAGCTGAGGATGTAGCTCAGTGCAAAGGCCCTGAGTTCAACTCCCAGAATTCCCAGTACCACACTCACAAACAAAAAAAGCAGCTCATTGTAGTAAAGGTATTTAGACAAACTTTTTCCATAACTTTTTTCCAGACTTTAAAATATGTCTGTAGATAAGGGAAGAGTGCTAAGGTCAGAGTTTAGCTCCTGCCCATGCTGAGAGTGTTGAGACAAGTACATGGTTCTAATTCCCAGGCAAAAGAGACTGATTGCTTCCGTTCTCCCTGGAGACAATCCTTTTCCAGAGCTGGAGCCCTGATGTCTTTCTCCTCATACAAATTCTCACTCTGTTCTCCAGAGCAGGTAAGTGGAGGGCTCCCCTTCACATCTCTGAGTCTCAGGACCAGGAATCTCAAGTCCAGGATTCCAGGAAAAAAATACAATAAGGATGGGGTACTGTAGCGGTCAGCAATTACAAGGGAAAGGATTTAATACAGGACACATAATTTATAAGATTTTTTTATAATATTCATCCAAAGAGTCAAATGCAAAAGAGTACAGGAGATCTGTCCACATACTAGAGACACAAAGAATTTAACTGAGGGAGTGGGTCCCATGACAATGTCCTGCATGAATCCAGCTCAAGACCTAGAGCTCAGGGCAATGTCCTCCGCAAGTAAAGCTGTAGGACAAGAGCCCATGATAATGTCTCATGCAAGTCTGTATCAAGTATCTGCACTGGGAAGGCCCAATGGTCAATGGTAGAAGCTACAAAGTCTGCAGTAGCAGGATGAAGGATCTGTGCTGGCAGGCTGAGGGAGCTGCCCTAGAGTCAGGAAGCGATGCTCAAGGTAAGAATCAGAACTCCTCTGAAAAGAACCACACACATCCTCAGCAACAGCAAGGACCTGAGCTCCTCTGATGATAACAGCTGAGTTCATATGAGGAAAACCAACATGAAAAGCTTTGCAGGAGAATCAACAGCACCTCTTCTACCCCTCCAGTTCTCTTTTTATGCTGTTGGCCACAGTCCTCAGTTCAGCTAGGTGATTCAGTTCAGCTAGGTGTTACAAGGTGCCCATTTGTTAATCCACCACAGGTACATAACCCTGTATGGTCACCAAGCTCTCATTTCAAGCCTTGTTTTTTTAAGCCTTCCCCAAAAGAAGAGCTCTTTGGCTAATGAAGAGTCAGGCCCAGGAGCTGATTTCAAGGTTCCTACAACACTGCCACCAAGTTAAACAGAAAGTAATGCAGTGTAGATGACATGCATGCTTCAGAGTCAGTAGGACTTAGTTTGAGTATAAGCTTTACCACTTACTAGTCATGTGACTTCTGCTTTTATACTTGTAAAATTGGGATAAAAATACCAAACATTGGAGCTTGCATACATATTCACTAAATATTAATTCCCTTTCTTTTTTACATCCTTCTCTGTGTACCATTTGCTAAAAAGCACACACATATAATTTTTTTTTCCAATCACGAGGATTTCAACAAAAGACCCAATATTGGAGATCCACTACTGCCAGAGTCTTAAGTTCCAGCAACTGAAGTGCAGCAAACAGAATAAAAAAGTAAAGTTTAGAATCGTAACAACTCACAGTAACTTTTTGATTGTGTGAAAGGAACAGGTCATGCTGCATAAATTGCTTTTTCCATTACTTTATCATGACCTTATAGGAATTAGCAATTGAAGAATTTGGACATCATTATGGGGAAAAATGAAAAGGCAAGTTTAATGACTATGGCTTTACGTAACATAAAAACTCTGTTTGTAGTTCATTTACCAAACAACACAATTTCCATTCACTGGCAATAGGTAAAATCTCTAAAGCAATACAGGACATTTATCACTATCACTATTGTTTACCACCTCAGAGAAACTACCAAGCCAGCAAGAGACATAGAAAAAAGCACTTCAGCAAAGAACTTGCATCCTTTTAAAAATATGGGTCTTTTCATAGTCTTTGCACATCCTTTTTTACTTTTTTTCAAAGGCCCTATCTATGTTTGCTCACAAATCACCTGGCAGCCATGAAAACCAAACATCCTGAACTCCACCAACCTCAGAAAGTATCTGTGGGATCTGACAGAATAAGAAATCAAAGGAGTGCACTAAAGCTAAACATTATTCCTGTTCAGTGTTAGAAGTTGTTACAGTGATAGTCCTCTAGCCCCGAGAAAACTTGACTTCTTGATGCCTAGGACACTATTCCATATAAGGCCACACCTGTGTCAAAGACTGGCCCTTTCCAACCCTCCAACTCCCAGCTCCAATGCCTTTCAGCACATTCTCAATTTATCATAACAAGTTAAGATAGATAGAACTATTATAGGGAGACAGACAGGGCTAGGCTAGAGGGAGTCAATACAGAAGATGAAAACACATTAAAACTGTGGCCAGGAGCACATCTGATAGGGATCAGGCCTCAAACCAAAGACAAAATGATCAAGCCTATGTGCCTGCCTTCTCTTGTAGTTTGGGGTTTTGCAAGCGGAAACAATAAAATACAGGACATGTATTTTATGAGATTATTTGGGCTGGGGATATAGCTCAGCAGCACAAGTGCCTGCCTGCCAAGCACAAGGTCCTGAGTTCTATCCCTGGTACCAAAAAAAAAAAAAAAAGAGGTTATTTACAATAGTCACCCAAAGAATCATATACAAACAGAGAGTGTAGGAAATCTGTCCACACACCAAAGACCAAAGAATCCATCTGAGGGCCTGGATCCCACAATAATGTCTTGCATGAGTCCAGCTGAAGACCTACAGCCCATAGCAATGCTTCCTATGAGTCCAGCTGGAGGACTAGAGCCCATGACAGTGTCTCATGGAGGCCTGTTTCATGTCTCTGCAATGGGAAGGCCCAAAGGTCAGTGGTAGAAGCTAGAAAGTCTGTTTCAGCAGGATGAAGGATCTGTGCTAGCAGGCTGAGGGATCTGCACTGGAGCCAGGAAGTGATGCTCAAAGTAAGAACCAGAGCTCCCCTGAAAAGTACCACAGTCATCCTCAGCAACAGCGAGGTCCCGGGCTCCTCCAACGATGAGGAAAGCTGAGTTTCCATCAGGAAAGCCAAAGCGACAAGCTTCTCCAGGAGACTGAGCACTGCGCCATCTTCCCCTCCAGAGCCAGGAAGCAATGCTCAAAGTGAGGACCAGAGCTCCCCGAAAGTGAACCATAGCCATTCTTAGTAACAACAAGGTCCTGAGCTCCTACTCTGACAAGAACAGCCAAGTTCCTCAGGAAAGCCGGCATGACAAAGTCCTCCAGCACAATAGCCCAAGAGAACCAACAGCTCCCTAACAGCTCCCCAACAGCTTCCACCAGCTCCCAACAGCCTCTCTTCTTCTCCAGTTCTGCCTCTTATGCTGCTGGCAACTATCCTCACTGGTTCAGTTCAGCTGGGTATTAAAAGTTGACCACCAGTTGTCAGTCCACCACACCTTCCCAAGCAATAAACCATAAATTAACATTAATATCAGTCACCCCAGTAGGTGGCTGGGTCCCCCTCATTAGTCTTTTCCTAAAAAGGTCCTTGGTTCTTTGTAGATACACTTGCAATGTGACCTGCTTCTCCATTAGGTCATTACCAAAGCAGCTAAATGTGTACTCTTATTGGTTGATCATAGTTTTGTCCCACGCTGTAACCACCTTGTGATTTTGTACTCACCTTGTGATTTTGTTCCCACCTTCTAAT